TAAACAAACATTTGAATTCTTTGGAAACGGAAAATGTGACACCTATTTTGAGTCTGGACACTGAACATGATGTACCTAGGTATTTATATAGATATTTGGGTTGAGGGTAAAATGCTCAAATTCGAATCAGATTTAGGTGCAGCACTTTCCGTTATGCCAGTTGATGAATATAACAAAATATTTCGAAAAATGTCCATTATATCCAANCTCGGAACGAAATAGATTCAGAACGGGAATCTGATGATATGATCGATGAAGTCATTGATATTAATTTCATTTCTTCAAATTCTGAAATTCCAATAAACGTGAATAATGTACGAAATGAGAAACTAGTTGATCCAGTTTTGTCGAAGTTTTGGAATATTTGAAAACAGATTGGCCAAATAAAATTGATCGTGAGTTGGAACCCTATTTTAACAAGCGCCTGGATCTGAGCATTGAAGAGGATATTATAGTATGGGGTCACACGTCTTCACTACAGGCATTAATTATAAGAGAATCACACAGTGCACATTTGGAAATAGTTAAAACGAAACTTCTATCTCGATCACATGTTTGGTGGCCATCGTTGAATTGTGAAATTGAAAATATCAGTCATAATTGTGATAAATGTCAGAAAATTCAGTCGAACCCTCCATAAGTGCCCTTACAAGGTCGGAGTGTGCCTGATGGGGTGTGGTAACGTATTCATATAGATTTTTGTCAAACAATTTTTTTTCTTTTTGATAGTCTTAGATACATTCTCGAAGTGGATCGAAGTTATACCCATGACTTCAATAACAACGTTTTTTTTCACGATATGGTTTACCGAAGACACTTGTTAGTGACAACGGTCCGCAACTGACTTCAGCGGAATTTAAGCATACTACTCAAGTCAATGGCATTCAACATATAACTAATCCGCCCTTTTCGGCATATTGCAATGGCGCTGCTGAAAATAGCATGAAAACTGTATAATCTTTTCTTATGAAAGAAATTGATTGTAAAAATATTAACCTATCACTTTCAATCTATTTGCTTACATACAGAAATACTGTACATTTGTCAACAGGAGAAACTCCTGCAAAGTTATTTTTTGTTAGATCTCTGAGAACAAGATTCGACTTATTGAAACCTGAAAGATTACAAAATTCTCAACAAGAATCAATTGATTTTGACCAGATCAAATGTAATTGAAGCAAAGCTCAGGAGATGAATGAAAAATTGTATAAGGAGGGAAGAAAAGTTATGTTTTCTGTTGGAAACATTGTTCTAACTAAATACCATCGTAATGTGAAAAGCTCTTGATGTAAAGCAAAAATAACGGGAATTTTAGGTAAGAATATATATCTTGTCAAACCGTTAGATTCAAATACTATTTGGAAAAGACACAGCAATCAGATTGAGACAGTGATTTCTAAAACAGATTACAATATGGATTTTGAGGATAAAATCAAATGGAATACTGATCAAGGTGATGTTGATAATACCTATGAAAATGAAGTGGTTGGTAATGGTGATGAAATAAATGTTGAGAATCTTGATAACAGTATAATCAGAACAAACATGGCATCACCGCCATCACCTAGCACTTCATATATTCGTCCTGTACGAAACAGGGGAGAAACTGATCGATTAAAATATTGACTTTTTATATTGTACATATTTATGTATTAATTCCAATTTTGGGGCGTGGTGGTGTGATGTATATGAATTCTAATGTGCGACGGTTGTCCCCGGCGCTGCCATGATATCAGTAGTGTGCGCATGTCTCCCCATCACGACCCGAATAGTGAAAAAAAGGCAGAGACTTCTTGCACAGTATACTATATACAGTAATCCCACTTCGGGTGATTTTTGGTTTGAATTTTCTACACCCAGACCCAGGAGTTGCAGTCTCAGGTCTGCGCAAACGACGAGTTCAAGACAGGCACGCANTACTTCAATATTACACAAATGCAAAATTATCATTTGTACAATTTTCTCAGGTGCCCAACATGGTTTTCATAGACTGTTTTTTTTTGAGCAGTTTATATGAATAGTTGTTATGTTGAGCAGTGTATACACGCTTTGGTTGAGATTGTAGTAGGGAGAAATGTCATTAGTGTCAAATACGTCATCATTATAAAAAATGAAACTCCTGGACACCGACATCAAAGGGACTGACGCTGAGTGAAACTACTGTATACAGAAATACTGTGCTTCTTGCATGTATTTACGATACATATTTTACAGTAATATAACGGATGCATAGAAGTATGTGTTTCATTTTAAGATCGAACTGCAGTCGCTGATAAAACATGCATTGTGTATGCGGATGTGTATGCGATAAATGTGATATTTCTTTGGAGGAGGAGTCTAGGTTAGGTAAGGGTAGGTCCAAAGTAAGTGAGTGTGTCTATTCGATTCTCCACCCCAACCCGCAAGGATTTATTGTGGCTCACACCTGTTGACACTCGACCAAATAAACCCAGCTTCTTGAAGAAGCCGATTAGTTTGTATGCTGAGTGATCTTTCAGGTCGGATGGTAAGAGTACGGCTCCGCCGAACTCTGAAAACCTGATTCGGTCCCCAGCGGGGCAGGCACAAAGTATGTGCTCTGCTGTTTCATCATTTTCCAAACAGAGGCGACACACACTGTGTCCCGACGGACCGAGTCTCTGCATATGATGATTTAAATGACAGTTACCTGTAAGAAGGCCTGTTAGACATCGTAGTTCATCCCTACTATAGTCCAATAACTGTTTGGAATCAAGCTTCTAAGGGCGAATAAACGCTTTGGAGTGAGCCAATCCTGGAAGATTCTACCAGAAGTACATAAATCGTCTTGTCATTCAGGGGTGTAATCGTACACAAAATAATTTAGTCTCATGGTGTATTTATAATTCTCTGTATTTCAATTCCGGAAAAACATTTTCTATTAGTTTTCACCATCAACAAAAATCTAACTTGTCCTGAGATAAAAAAAATGCCAAAAGCAGCATACTCTCTAATGTCAATGAATGTACATTTTTAGGGCTTACATTAGAACACTGTCTGAACTAGAAAGAACATTGTAGCCAACTCACCTCAAAATTATCATCAATTACATGTTTAATGATACCATGGACAGGTAGAATCACAAATTAGATACATACGGCATTTGTCTACGGAGCGGTTCTTCATCATCGATAAGTGTTTTTGTTACAAAAAAGGTTCTTCGGATCTTGCCCGAGTTGATCCACAAGCATCATGCAGGGACCTATTCAAGCAAAACAAAATATTAACTCTTGTTAATATACTCATATTTGAAATGTGTGTCAATATTCATAATAATCAATTAAAGTTTGGACGAAATAGCACTTATCATAGTATCGACACGAGAAATCGTAATAACTTTTACGTTAAACTATATGAATGTAACCTAACTGCCAAGTCTCCTTTTTATTTGGGATTAAAAAAGTTTCTCTTAGAGAGATTAATGGAATCCATGTGCACAAATGAAATTTGAAGAAGTTTCTATGCTGTTCAAGGATTTTTCATTGTGACTGTATGATTTCTTTTCTGTATTGACATACCTGACCATGGAAAATCAATTTAATTTTTTTTTCACTGTAGTGTGCGCTGGTCAGACCCTATCCCCCGAAGTCCCGATATATTCGGGAGGGCGCACCAGCATTATCAACCAATGACCACTCCCCACACCGTGATCTGAGTGATCATTGGGTCCGAGAATCATGTGCCCTGAATAACATGTGAGCCAAGAATGACAGCCTTCTGCATCTGTGCGGCTGAGATTTCTGCCTTAGTGCGGCAAGCCGGTATGGTTTTAAGATTCAAGAGTAGAGAGGACATCATTCCACCAAGGCTCCAATAATCAGAACAACCATCTTGACAGAGTGATCTGGATACAGTCTGTCGAAACTTCTATCTCGATCACATGTTTGGTGGCCATCGTTGAATTGTGAAATTGAAAATATCAGTCATAATTGTGATAAATGTCAGAAAATTCAGTCGAACCCTCCATAAGTGCCCTTACAAGGTCGGAGTGTGCCTGATGGGGTGTGGTAACGTATTCATATAGATTTTTGTCAAACAATTTTTTTTTTGATAGTCTTAAATACATTCTCCAAGTGGATCGAAGTTATACCCATGACTTCAATAACAACGTTTTTTTTCACGATATGGTTTACCGAAGACACTTGTTAGTGACAAGGGTCCGCAACTGACTTCAGCGGAATTTAAGCATAGTACTCAAGTCAATGGCATCCAACATATAACTAATCCGCCCTTTTCGGCACATTGCAATGGCGCTGCTGAAAATAGCATGAAAACTGTAAAATCTTTTCTTATGGAAGAAATTGATTGAAAAATATTAACCTATCACTTTCAATCTATTTGCTTACATACAGAAATACTGTGCATTTGTCAACAGGACAGGACCAGATCAAATGTAATTCAAGCAAAGCTCAGGAGATGAATAAAAAATAGTATAAGGGGGGAAGAATCAAATACTATTTGGAAAAGACACAGCAATCAGATTGACACAGTGATTTCTAAAACAGATTACAATATGGATTTTGAGGATAAAATCAAATAGAATACTGATCAAGGAGATGTTGATAATACCTATGAAAATGAAGTGGTTGATAATAGTGATACAATAAATGTTGAGAATCTTGATAACAGTATAATCAGAACAAACATGGCATCACCGCCATCACCTAGCACTTCATATATTCGTCCTGTACGAAACAGGGGAGAACCTGATCGACTAAAATATTGACTTTATATATTGTACATATTTATGTATTAATTCCAATTTTGGGTCGTGGTGGTGTGATGTATATGAATTCTAATGTGCGGCGGTTATCCCCGGCGCTGCCATGATATCAGTAGTGTGCGCATGACTCCCCAACACGACCCGAATAGTGAGAAAAAGGCAGAGACTTCTTGCATGTATTCACGATACATATTTCGCAGTAATATAACGGATGCATGTGTGTTTAATTTCAAGATCGAACTGCAGTCGCTGATAAAACATGCATTGTGTATGCGTATGTTTATGCGATAAATGTGATATTTCTTTGGAGGAGGAGTCTAGGTTAGGTAAGGGTAATTCCAAAGTGAGTGTGTCTATTCGATTCTCCACCACAACCCGCAAGGATTTATTGTGGCTCACACCTATTCACACTCGACCAAATAAACCCAGCTTCTTGAAGAAGCCGATTAGTTTGCATGCTGAGTGATCTTTCAGGTCAGATGGTAAGAGTACGGCTCTGCCGAACTGTGAAAACCTGATTCGGTCCCCAGCGGGGCAGGCACAAAGTATGTGCTCTGCTGTTTCATCATTTTCCAAACAGAGGCGACACACACTGTGTCCCGACGGACCGAGTCTCTGCATATGATGATTTAAATGACAGTTACCTGTAAGAAGGCCTGTTAGACATCGTAGTTCATCCCTACTATAGTCCAATAACTGTTTGGAATCAAGCTTCTAAGGGCGAATAAACGCTTTGGAGTGAGCCAATCCTGGAAGATTCTACCAGAAGTACATAAATCGTCTTGTCATTCAGGGGTGTAATCGTACACAAAATAATTTAGTCTCATGGTGTATTTATAATTCTCTGTATTTCAATTCCGGAAAAACATTTTCTATTAGTTTTCACCATCAACAAAAATCTAACTTGTCCTGAGATAAAAAAAATGCCAAAAGCAGCATACTCTCTAATGTCAATGAATGTACATTTTTAGGGCTTACATTAGAACACTGTCTGAACTAGAAAGAACATTGTAGCCAACTCACCTCAAAATTATCATCAATTACATGTTTAATGATACCATGGACAGGTAGAATCACAAATTAGATACATACGGCATTTGTCTACGGAGCGGTTCTTCATCATCGATAAGTGTTTTTGTTACAAAAAAGGTTCTTCGGATCTTGCCCGAGTTGATCCACAAGCATCATGCAGGGACCTATTCAAGCAAAACAAAATTCTGGACATGCTAATAGCAAGTGCATTAGGGTCTCGGGCGCCTCGCGGCAGGCTCTGCACCTAATGTCAGCAACCTCTATACCCATTATTATAATTTTTTTCATTAACGTTAGTTACAAATAAAAGTGGTAAAAAACATGGAAAGTTTTGTTTCTCATTTTTTATGAAACTCAATTACTTGATTTCAATTGAGTCTTTTGTGATAGAGTGTACTCATTTCTCGTCTTGAAAGAAAACAGTAGTCTTTTGTCGTGATAACATGTATTTTAGTTTTTTTCGAATGAATTGCACCACAACTAAATGTTTTACTCCTCTTTGAAGTCTTTCATATCGTACTAGCTTTATCTGTCAGTAGTCTACTCTACCGCGATGAAAATACGGATTTCTTTCGATCATTGGCTTCAATAAAAATGGCAAATGAAGATATCATACGTGATGAATAGTCCTGATTCAGAACTGTAATTCCAAAGATAGAAATCAATATGCAGCATTTCTTCTTTCCAATGTTGTATGAAATAACTAGCTCTATATTTCTGTTCCTATTAATTCCGTAATGTAATCACGGAAGGGGTCATATACTACATTAATGCTCTTCCGGGAGCGTCACGAGAGCCAAAAGTAACTGTTGCTTCCTTGAATATGAGTAATGAATATTTCACAGAAGCTTTCAAAGATTACTACTCGGCTCTGCATCCTGAATGCACTGAGAGAAAAAAACTTACTAATATCATGCATTTAATATAGGTATAGAGTCAACATTGAAGTCTGCCTCAGTTTCATATTTCCATATTTTTCTGAATAAGCAAGGAAAGAATTTCCAATTACCTGTTGAAATTTCCATTCTGTGAAAGATGATTTCATTTCAGAATGATGCACATGTGAAATATTTTGAATTTCTTCAATAAATTAAAAAGTCAGTTCTTTTAAAGAGATCTTATCACTTTGCTTTCAACTCTTGCTAGTAAGCGTTTATGACTTGTCTAATAGATTCGTTGACACCCGGTATACTATTTGTTATAATCAACTGAATACAAATCAAGCGTCAATGTAAACAAACATATTAATCATTTTGAAGTGTGGAGTGCTTTCAAAAATATATCTTTTTTGACTTTTTTTGTAGGCATCTGTATAATATTTTGCTCAGTAACTGAACCTTTTTTTTTCAATTTGTATCAATGACATTTGTAAAATATTATTTTCTTCGTTTGTTTGCCATGTAATTTCTATACTTAGAAATCAACTATTTTCCTCAAGAACATAATCCTTTTAGACACAATTACAATGACTTGAGAGTAGCGTCATCCATTGATCTTCAGCGGCGTATGGTGACATTCAAATTTCTGCTAATCAAAGTTTTCACTAAATTTGTTCATGTCAATAAAAATGTCATGTCATAAGAAAACAAAGTGGCTGTCCTTGGAAGTACACAAACAAAATCAGATAATGCAATCGAGAGAAAACAAGCCACGCTCATTGATGATAACATGAAAGCAGAGTCAAATACAGAGTTACTGCGTTAGGAAAAACGGAAACAACAACTAGCATCAACTTTGGCATTGCGATCGTTACCACATCACTTTTGATAACATATACCGCAGTAGTAGGCGAAACGTCAGGGACAGAAACCTGCAGACCACGACCAAAAAACCCCGAAAATGGCTTTCACACAATGGAAACCATCGTTATGAATTGAAAATGAAATCTTTTGTTCAGGTTTCTGTTCATGAAATAACGTTTTATATCCAAATGATACTCATTTCATTTATTGTGGATGAAATATATTCGTCATTTTGAAACGGCAACTTCAAAATGATTAATATTTTATTGTCATGCTGTTTTTGTTTCCAGTTATCAAAATCCAACTCAAAAGAGGTAACCATAACCAACGTCGAGAGAGAAACTTCTGGAATATTCAAATGTGAGGTTACTGCGGATGCGCCACTCTTCCACACCGATATGCAAACTGCACGTTTGATTGTCGCAGGTGAGACACAGTTGTTGATTATTGTTTTGCACATATTTCAAATACTTGATTTGGCCGATAATTGATGGAAATCTATGAAAACGTATTCAAGATTTATTATGAGAATTTCATGTGTTCCTTTGAAGCTTCCTCAGGCGTGTTCAATAGAGTGTTTATATAGAACATGCTTAGAGAATTTATTGTACAGTTGAACACGTGATGCGGTTTTGTAAACTGTGAAAATTCCACGAAGAGATGAGTCAGATATTCAATATTTGCAGAAAGTGTTTTTTTAAAAAATCAGTTATAGTTGAGAAATAGATGTTTATGAAACAGAATTTTTCACTACCTAATATGCCAAATGAATTGATGTTGTGTAAGTGAAGGATAAAAGTTTGGCAATATGGAATAGTTGGGCATTCAAATTGTCAGTATCTTTAGCCGCAGAAAAAGATAGAAACCAAATCTTAATATTTTAGACTGGCTTTGAAACGGATCACCTTTAGGATCCTTGCTCAATATTGATATTTGTAGTTTGAGTTGTAATAACTGCCATTGCGGTGGTGAACGTGATATATCATTTTATTCATAAAGACCGAGGTCGGACAACCCGAGGTGGGTATCGATTCTTTTCCAACAGAGTATGCTTTGAATTCAATTTATGATTGTTAAACCTTGCCGGAATCATGGAGGTTATGTTTCGTGTAGGCTAGATTGAATAAACGTATCCTGTTGATAAGTTATAATACTGAGAATTCGAAAATGCAAGCTACGAGTTTGCGTTTCAGCTTCGTGAACAGGAAGTTTGGCCATATCTGAATAAGTGGGCCCAAAAATTTATTTAAAATGAAAACTGACCAATGACTTCGATGAAAAGACGATGTGGGTCTTGAGTAGGAAGAGTTGTGGAAAAAGTTCGGGAATATTAAACAGAGATCCGACCAATTAGAAAACGGTACAAGGGAGGAGTGTTAGGGACATTCTTGGGGAATAATCATTAGGCGGTTAATTGAGAGAGTGGCGATCGAACAGTTGCGGAAGAGGGTCGCGAAATGGTCGCGAAAGACAGTTGCGGAAGAGGGTTGCGAAAAGGAATTTCCCAAAAGGGGATTTTGCGATAGAGAAGTTGCGAAAAGGGTCCTTGGCGAAAGAAAGTTGCGACAGTTCATTGGGGGACAGTGCTGGAAGAGAGTTGAGGGAAGTTGGTCGCGAAAGTGAATTGCGAAAGTCAGATGCGAATAGATTCCTTTGCGATCGAGAGGTAATTGGGAGAGTTGCGACAAGAGACTCCGAAAAGGGATTTTGCGATAGTGGAATCACAGTAAATTGCGGTCAGTGAGTTAATTGTTGTTTCGTTTGGTGACCCTAACAACGGATTTGTATTTTACACGGATACCGTACCAGAGAGGGAGAGTAGAACCCAGTATAGTATCGTGAGTCAATTTGGATGTTTACTAACCCACATGTCGATTTACTGAGAGAGAATGTCATTTCAATTTTGTAATAATTGTTTCGTTGTTGGTGCATCTTGAGGACAATAAATTACACTACACCCCTTTCATATGTGTGAATATCATAGCAATTAGTACACACGAGTTTGAAGCTAAAAAAATAGTATGGTGGCCAGGCATGTTCAAATACTCGCTTCAGAATGTCCGCCAAGTTCGAATAACGTAACTTAGTTTTTCGTGTAAATTGGAATTCTACTTCATGAGAGAATATATAACATTTCGCAAGTTGATAAAGATATAATTTTTGTTTGAGAATCAGCTATTTTAGGCGTGCTTTCTTGTTGAATTTCGATCTTACCTTTCAAACATTTTTGCTTATTGTTTTTTTTGTTAGACTTCCTTGTTATATTTACACATGGTTATTTGTTATGGTCTATAAACATACCCGTTTATTTTTCTTTATATGTTTTGTAATACAAGCCTAATCTGATAACTCATGTTTTTAATGTCTCACTATTCGAGGAAGTCCCGCATTATTTCAGGAAAGTTGAAAGGCCTTCAGCCGAAAGTATTAGTCTCCTGCCTCGTCCCAGAGTGGATCTTAGAAGATCAAAAAGACCGACCCTCGTGCGATAGGCACGAACCCTACAGCTACTTGACTTGATATTCAAAATTTGATGTGGAGATATCTGCATCTGGTGACAGCCACTGCCAAATTAATTTCAGAAAATACATGAATCAGAAATGAGCATTTATTACACTGAAAACGGTCGGTATATTCAATAATTCCTATCCCTATCCCTAATAATATTATAAATGTGAATGTAAGTTTGTTTATTACGGTTTCACGCGAAAACTACTCAACCTATCATGATATTTTGTTCACATGTTCTTGGAGGTATTAGACATAGAATACCTAAAAAAAATGTTTATGTAAGATGAAAAAATTGTCAAAAAAATCTCAAAATCTAGCTACTTTAACGTGATATAGTTCTCATATTGATTAATGGCATAATTGCGAGCGAAGCTGCAGGTGAAAGCTAGTAATGTATAGAACCATATATACACGAATATATCGGTTATATTACAGAGTACTCTGTTGATCTTATAGCTGACGTTTTCATGGAAAACAATGTCATCGCTTTTTTATTTGTAACTTCATCTACATAACCAGATGTCTTTCTTCAGGATAAAAAAATAGAAAATTCTGCAAATGTATCGCGCAGGCACACGTATATCTTTTGTAATTATTGATCACATCGATCTCTTCTTCATTGTGCAATCATGATAAAAAAACAACTGTTGAATATATCGCTTTCCTGAAGAAACTGTAACCAATAACGAACCTAATAAATAGAAAGAGACATAACCCAGTTTAACGAAGTGGAGGTTTGTCCTAGAATAGAATATAAATTGCATCAATTTATATTTGGAAAATATGTTTCGATGGTATTGAATTCGTTAGCATAACGAATTTTGAAAAAAGCTGCTTTTGTTCTGGTATTTGGTAAATTCCTTTGATTAGATCATATAGAATATAATGATATATGAAGAAGCTGAGTTGAACCCCTATAACTTAATTTTGGTTTCAGAAGCATAATATAATGACTTATATGAAACAAAATATTTCTTTAATGTTGGATAGTCAGAAGAGGCGGGAAAACAAAGTGCAATGAAAAAAATATAATTATTTTTAGTTAGAATTCAAAGCATCCATATTTCCCAAACACAGCAAGATCTGGCAACAACAATAATTTTTCATTTAAAATATGAATGATGAATTACAATAATAACTTGGGGAATCGCAAAGTTCGGATGTGGGGAGAATTCTCACCCTCTGTTCTTCTACCCAACCATGGGCTTGAAATATACCTCAACTAAGGCTAGGATAACAATTCCACTGAACTAAATCAACATGGAGATGCAAGGAATGTATCAAGAAGATGCCGGCTTATAAAACAAGCTGGTATATCGGATTGGGCAAAATATGAAGCAGAGGCAATTACAAAATATCATTTACCTCTTTGTAATTAAAGCGACTAGAATTTTTTGAATCATTATGAAAATATATGGGCAAATCACAACTTTGTAACTATAGCATCGTTCATCGTGTAATAATTTCGACCTTGTATTCAGTTCATGTATATCTGTTCGAAAATCTATTCAAAATCTGTTTCGAATCTGTTTTTCCGTTAACCAGCTGTCACCCCCCCTACGTACGATAACTCTCAAAAGTCGAATCTTATACAGCTAAGGACTAACAAGGTCTTACCTTTCAACGTGTGATTCCTAACACGGATTGATAGCAGGTGAAAATTTATCTTTCGGTCTCGCGGCTTGAACCACCGTTTCACACAGTGGTCGATTGAGTGAGTGGAGCAAAGCACCCATGTCCATGTCAACCCGACTGGATAACGTCCCACCATGCGATTCAGAAAAGATTTTCTGGCACAAGATTTCAGGCAATGTTTTCATCATTTTATTTGAAAACAATCAGTGTGAACCCTACATCTCACTTTCATATTGAGTCATTTGTCATCTACTAATTTGTGTGAGATATGGTCAAATTTCCTTATTACGAAAATAAACCCTGAACAGGCATTTTGGACTTTCTGTCGATCGGTGGCCAGGCGGTTCGACGAGGGTGCTTTGTTCACTCACTCGAATTGAGTGCCGTGTTGGTCGGTGGTTCAAGCCTAGTCTGAATGATTGATTTTCACTTGTTATCGTCCAACCCGTGTTAGGAATCACACGTTAAAAGGTAAGACTTCGTTAATCCTCAGCTCGCATAAGTTTCAGCTTATGAGGGTTGTCGTTCGTAGGGGCGCGACAGCTGGTTAACGGAAAAACAGATCACAGATCAGCTTCGATGAGGAGCAGTATCGATTTGATCGGGTTTCAACAGGTAGATTGTTGTGGAATTGGCCGTGGTGGTAGTGCGCCCGACTCACGATCGGAAGACCGTGGGTTTGATTCCCGCCTCGACCAGATATTTTTCTCGAGAGAATTTATCTGGTTGAAGCTGGAATGATTCTGCAACCGTGTTAAGAATCACACGTTGAAAGGTTAGACCTCGTTAGTCCTTAGCTCGCACAAGTTTCTTAACTTTTGAGAGTTGTCGTTCGTATGGGGGAGACAGCTGATTATCAGAAAAACAGATTTTAAACAGATATTTTTTTAAACAGGAGCCATAATAAATCCTCACAACTTGCAGTGGAGAGTCGAATGAATCCACTCACTCTCAACCTACTCACCTACATAAAGAAATATTCTGTATATACTGAAGAAGACAGACCTGCGAGGAGAATGATTATTGTATGTTGAATTAACAAAAACGTATAACAGTGGTTTGTATGGAGATTGCCGAAGGGCACTTCCAGAATTCACTCGAATTATATCACGATTATTCAAGATAAATCCAATAAATTTTGCATTTTACAGAAAACATATTGTTGGCATTTCGAAGAACCATTTTTTTTAAACAAAGCAACAATTGGAATTCCCTCTCCATTTGCTATAATTTGATTGACCCAATTCCTTTCGAAGAAGAATTGGAGAAGACATCCTCGA